GGTCGAAAAAACTGACAGGTTACCATTTTACCAGGGAGTACGATTTTTTTTTTTTTTTACATGGCTTTTTCTATTCTCTTATTCAATGTGGGCAAACAAGGGGAAAAAATACATTTGTTTTTAAAAAAATTTCTAAAAATACACGTGTTATCAAAAAATTTCTCAAAATACACATGTTTGGTTATCACTGCGGTACGACCGCAGTGAATGCATTCACCACGGCAGACGAAAGCGGTGAATGCATCACCACGGTTGACGACCGCATAACTTTTTATTCCACATAACTTTTCAAGATCTTTCAATTTGAAACAAGTCTTCATCCCCAAAAAAATGTCGTTTGCTACCCCGAACGAGCAATTTTTTTGATTTTGAAAGACTTTGGAAGACCATAACTTTGTGCTCCGCAATCCGAATGTCATGAAACTTTTCTTGATTTTACATAACTTTTGAATTAATACAACTTTGATTATAACCATAATTTTGGAATGTATATGAATTTGTGAAAAGTAAATGCAAAGTTATCCCAAAATCCCGTATACCCAAAAATATTTCTTTTTAAAAAAATTCTTTCCTAGTAAAAGTTGTAGTTCTTAAAAAGTTATGTCCAATCATAAAAAAACTTTATGACGTTCGGATTGAGGAGATAAAAGTTATGGTCTTCTAAAGTTTGGAAAAATGTAAAAGTTGCTCGTTCGGGTTAACAAACGACATTTTTTTGGGATGAAGCCTTGATGCATATTGAAAGATCTTGAAAAGTTATGCGGAATAAAAAATCGCTACAATCAGATAACCGAGCGCATAATTACGTTCGTTTGAAGTTTCAGTGTTAGGTCAGACATTCACTGCGTCCTTCAACCGCGGTGATGCATTCACCGCTTTCGTCTGCCACGGTGAATGCATTCACTACGGTTGACGGCTGCAGCGATGGCCAAACATGTGTATTTTGGGAATTATTTTTATAACGTGTGTAGTTTGAGAATTTTTTTTTTAAACATGTTTATTTTGGGATTTCATCCCTAAACAAGTACGGTTTTTCAGTTTTGTTTCCTGGTGGATTTCTAGTTTCCCGTAAGGCTAACCACAACCCGAGGGGCAAAAATTGAGGGTTTTAAGCCTATTTTAGTATCCTCGTAAACAGAAATAGCTGCAACCCTGATGGTTAAAATTTTATGTTTTGTATTTAGTAATCATTACTTTGAATAGTTAAATTCATTTTTTAAATTTAAAATTTATATATTCATTCACGATAATTGAACACGAACATTTCGATGAAATTTGAACAAATTCTGAGATACTTTGTTTTGGTTGAAATGGAAGAAAGTTACACCAAACTGAACTTCATTTATAAAAATTACCAAGATTTTGAGCAATTTCAGAGATGCCTTTTTTTTGTTGAAATGGAAGAACGTTCCAAATTTTAAATATTTTTTTTTTGTTTTCAAATAGCAATCGAAAAGTTGAAAGTTACAACAAAAAGAATTTCGTTAGTTAAAGGCACTCACAACAACACAAGTATATTCAATTTAAGTGCTAAAACAAAAAACAAAAACTAAACTAATCTCGACCATAAAAAAAAGAGAGTTAAAATAGCCTCCTAAAACCCCTTATAGCCTTTTTAGCCCCCAAATTTGTTCCATGGTTGAATATGATTTATTACGGCTATAAGGGCATTTTGCCCTTTTTAACTCTAGGGTTGTGGATAGCCTAAGAATGTGTTTATATCGTTGAATTATGTATTTTGAGATTTATAATGCTTATTTTTTTTTTTTTTTTTTTTTGAAAGGAAGAGATTTATAATGCCGAGTACATGTAATGATAGTTGCAGTTATTAACTATAAATTATTATGCGTTCTTCCAACAATTATAGATAGCATCATCAGATGACGAATCCTCATATTTGAGAGTTGTTGTTGGTTGTCGTCCTGTCGCATGAAATTGGGGTTTGGTGGCGGTGGAAGGATTATGTGAAGAAGAGATGAGAGTGAAGAGCTTATGAAAGTTATGAGCATCCAAGAAAAGGAAGGGCTGCTCAGAGGTCTAGCGCGTTGGAGAATAGGAACACAATGGGAATTGTGAATTGTCGACAATATGTCTAAGGAGTTTAGGATTCGCTGAGCTGCTAAGTGTGATGTGAAGAATGATAAAACCAATTGCTGTCAATATTCTCCTTATCATGAATTTTCGTACAAATGATAGTGACTTGGATCTAGCGTTTAACTCTTTCATCGATGAATTTGACTATGATTATTAATGGAGTTGGTGTCCTAATATCATTAAGTATGATCTACAAATATTCAATGTATGCACATTGCACAACTATTATCAACAAAATTATCACTACACACGTCCAACAACTATCAAATGATATATGAAAGTGATATGAGAAAGTAAAGACAGTTTTACTTACATCATGCCTTATAAGAATGCTAAGTTTTTAACAAATTTCGTATTCTCAAAATTTTGGCTAACATTTTAGAATTTGTGAAAAGTTTAAAATGGGGTTAATTGCATGCCATGCCACTTAAGTTGTGGCTTGGTTGCACGTTAACCACTTAGATTTATTTAGTTGCAACTAAAACACTCAAGTTCAATTTTCGTTGCACCGTTATCTTTTCCATCCAAAAACTTAACGGCAGGTATAAAAAAGTAATTTTACATGGTACATGAACATTCCAACTCAGCTTTGGATTGTTGACTCACAGAAATTGGGTTAAACTTGAAAGAAAATCTCAGAAAATGAAAACTCAGTCGGAAACGCAAAGTACTTCGGATAGATTGACATGGAGGGAAGAAAGATCGAAAGTTGCAGTACATTTGTAATAACAAGAATTAGTTTCTCTGTATTAAACTCAAAATAATAGTTTCTTGCAGAAGGCATCACCCCAGTAGACCTGTGTGATTCTTGCAGAAGGCATCACCCTAATTGCCCTAAACAGAGAACCGGACTACTAGCGCCATAAATAGGATTAGAAATACAGAGTTTAATTATGGCTCCACTTCATTCGTATAAAGCATCCATGGTGTTGATCAGAAACAAAAAGAGGGTTCCTGTATGGGTTAATACCTTAGTTTGGCCCGAACTATACACATACTTTCTACTTTGGCCCGTGGTATTGAAAATTGCTATATGGCCTGAACTATGTAGCAAACTTTCTCATTTGGCCTGGAGGCGAGTTTGACCGTTAAATTAGACGGTCAAACCTGTTGACCGTTAGTCAATGTACACCTCACCTGTCACGTCATATTTGAGGACATAAAAATTTAATTTTTTTCCTGAATTTTGTTTTCTTTCGATTAATAAAATTAATAAATATTATTACAAAAAAATATTAATAAATCGAACAAATTAATTAAAAGAACGGAAAAAAGCACCCATTTAAAAAATTAATCTTTTCCCCGATTTTTGTGAGAGTGCGAGGGTATAAATGGGCGCTTTTTCGTTTTTTTCTCGTTCTTTTAATTAATTTATTAGATTTATTAATTTTTTCTTTAATAATATTTATTAATTTTATTAATCGAAAGAAAACAAAATTCAGAAAAATAATTTAATTTTTTATGTCCTCAAAGCTGACGTGGCAGGTGAGGTGTACATTGACTAACGGTCAACAGGTTTGACCGTCTAATTTGACGGTCAAACCCGCCTCCAGGCCAAATGAGGAAGTTTGCTACATAGTTCAGGCCAGAATAGCAATTTCCAATACCACAGACCAAAGTAGAAAGTATGTGTATAGTTCGGGCCAAACTAAGGTATTAACCCTTCCTGTATTAACTGACCTTTGACTTCAGATGATAAATGTGGAGTCCATCGGATCAGCCAAGTAAACGCTATAGTTCAATGGATCAGCCCCACTTCAGTCGGGGTTAACGCCATCCCCACCACCGTTGCCGCTTCCGTCCGATGTTAAATTGCGCGCAGAATCAGTCCCGGGAAGGTGAGAGTAACAGACTACTCGTCGTTGACGCGGAATTCGCTTCCGTTCCGGTATCGCGAAAGCTTAGACAGCTTGCTCCACCGCAGGAGCTTTACAGTCGCCTCCTCCGGTTCTTCGTAATCAACCTCGGTCGCCTCCGCAGCAGCAAGATCGGCGACCATCAGGAACCTTGTGCTCGACTTCCTTCGGCTTCACGTAGAGAGAGATAAGCTGATGCTCTGTTTTTCGTGTATTGGAACAGGGGAGTTTGGCATTGGGCACTATTTATTTTAACTTCTACAATGATTTGAGTTTTTTCTTTTCTTTCGATGCTCTTAATTTTATCATTGTTAAATTAGTATGAGATTCTGTGAGCCAGCAATCCAAAGCTGAGCTGGAATGTGTATGTGGCATGTAAAATTATATTTTTCATACCGCCGTTAAGTTTTTGGATGGAAAAGATAACGGTGCAACAAAAATTGAACTTAAATGTTTTAGTTGCAACTAAACAAATCTAAGTGGTTAACGTGCAACCAAACCAAAACTGAAGTGACATGAGATGCATTCATGTACCATGTAAGCAGCAGGTCGTTTTACTCGGGAAACACAGTTTGGGACCCAAACATTGTATCGAACGACCGATCAAGACAAGGGTCGGGCTTTCTGGAAAAGCTAATGGGTTAGGCCCATAAAATCCGAGAACTGCGCCCAATCGTGATGCCTCAATGAGTTGGGCCAGTCACAAAAAGAGGCCCAATCCATATACACAGAGGTTCGGTTCTTTGCCACGCGGGGGACAAGCGTCGATGTTTAATCAACCACCGGCCACTCTTCTCTTCTCTTGGGGCTTATCTAGCACTTGCAAGGTCTCCGTCAGCCACGTGTCGCCAGCAATGCTACGTGGCAGGAAGTGGGCGTTATCTAGAGCAGACATCTGTCGATCAGGACAAAGCTGCTGATCTGAAAACCTGCCCTTTTGTTAATATTGTCGGTTTCCTCGACATAAAAATCTGCCCCGTTCGTTGGAGACTGGAGAGTATGTAGTAATGTAACTATTCATCTTCTTTCTCTTTCCACTTCAATATAAAGATGAACCAGGCGATCGTTAGGTCGTTTAGAAGCCATCATCAATTGCCCGCTGGTGTAATAATATCTCCGACGTCGAACCAAGTAAGCAGGGAAGGTAGAGTTCCTTATTCAACAGGTTTTGTTAATTTGAGGAAGGGGAAGAAGGCTTTTTGTACCAACCCAGACAGTAAGCACGACATGGACAAAGCTCAGGAGCCCAAGGACAAGAAAGGGTATGCCATATTCGAGTTACGATGTTTCGAATTTGTTATCTAGGTGCAAAAGTTTGTTCTGTACCCGCTAAAAAGGTTGCCTGAAGCGAGCTGTCTATGTGTATGGTTGTGCAGGGACGCGATGTCGCATTCGTTTGGAGAAGGGTATGCGACGAGGAGCGACGAGGAGGGGTTTGGCGGGATCTATGGAGGGAACAACGACGACGACAATGTCAAGCTGGAGAAGAAGATCCATGAAGATCACCCTGGTATTTATGGTTTAGTTAAGAGATGATAATTGTTTTGGTCAATTGGACAGTTTTAGATAGTTGCCCCTTCTTAATTTTGGCTTACGGGTGAATGGATGGGTGTAGATTATGACAGGAGCCAGGGGAGTGAAGTGAAAGAGAAGGAGAAGGCGCGTAACCAAGCCACTGCCAACCATTGAGACCAGTTCAAAGACGGTGCGTGCAGAAGTTCTATTTCAATAAGAAGGGGACGCACGAGACCAAGTGGCCGTTGCGCCTCTGTAATAAGTCTATAGGCTCTAGCTTAGCTACTACGTACCCTTTCAATTTCATGTTCACTTTCGGGGTGTTCTTTCTATCAGTTAGGCGTCCGATTAATCTATAGCAGATGAGGCTGTGGTTGTCAGTGATCATAATCAACTATTTGATTGTGATCAGACCAACTGAAGAGCAACTATACAGGAAGAGTAAGGACTCTGAAGACTAGCTAGTAAAATAGGAAGTATGAAATCGTAATTTTCCTAATCAGTTTGTTAGGACTTGCAACAACCTTTTCCCCCTCCTGGTAGCAAACCCAGCTCGGGTATGAAGGGAATCATTTTTGAGTTCTTTTTTGCCTTCGTGAATCGAGTGTTTAGACACGGTGTCAAAGCACAAGTAAGCTCGATTTTGTTCTTCTGCTTAATCTCTGTGCTCGAAAGCACAATTCTTAAAGATTCTCATCATCGGCCATACATTCGGCCTTAGTCGCACCACTCTCATGGTCATCACGCAATGCCAAATCTGATGGTCATCACGCAATGCCAAATCTCTTTTTTGAACTGTCAGATCCATCCAGTTTTGCAGTTTTAGGTAACCAATTCGTAGGGTGAGAAAAACTTACGTTATCCAAGTTACCAAAACGTTTCAGTTTCTATCTAAAGTTGTTTAGTCACAAAAACTGGTAAAAATATGGGTAAAATTGGTGAAATCACTTAAAATCGATAAAATTGTGATTCTGAAGCTTTTTTATACGATTTTGTTAATCTCATAAAAATGTGCTAATTGACCCAAAATAATGTAATTTTGGAGACATATCAGCATAAAAAAAAAGGAAAACATGATTCATCACTCGTTCTACAACTAGTGTCGAGATAAGGGCTTCACATTAGGTTGAAAAGATACTTAATGGTATTTTCAACAGCTGTCGACATTCTATCAGTTTTCTCCCTTAATCTTCACATGTGGCTCTTACCTGGGTTACGATAAAAGTGTATGGGTAATTGATCGTATGTAATCATGTAAACTCAAACCATCTTATGAGAATTTGGATTCTCAAGCTCGTTTACGGGTCACGATCTATGTTTATGAGCTTATTATTAAGATATGACTCTTCTCTACTTTTGAGTCAACACAAATTAGTTTAGGTTAGATATTACATTTTAATTATGAATTTCATGTAGTTATTCACTTATCTAAAATCTACATTCATATTTTACATATTTTAATTATGAATTTCATGTAGTTATTCACTTATCTAAAATCTACATTCATATTTTACATATTTTAATTATGAATTTCATGTAGTTATTCACTTAACATATTTTAACTATTTTAACTATTTTAGAGGGTGCGTCAAAAACTTATGCTTTTACGCTTTGATTCTACGTTTTACGATTTTACTCATTTTCCGCTTTTAGGTAGAATCGCACTTTTAACTGTATTGTGTGAGAGCGCTCATTTGTAAAAATTTGAAGATTTCAACATTGAGAGTGTGACGGGAGTGTGATATTATATTATTTAAATTAATTAATTTAGTCCTTTTTTATAGTAACTTTTTGATGAATTTTTTTTATAATAACTAAGAACTCGAATCAAATAAGAAGATTTCGAGTAGTAATCGCTTTGCTAATTGAAGATTTAAAATGATCTAAGACTAATTAAAGAAGCAAAACTCTACCTTTCAAAAAAAGCGGGTGATAGACCGGTAGCTAAGAAAAATTGGATTGGTGTTATTACTTAAACGTTGGAGTCTATAACGAGTAACAAATTTATTAGGGGTGTTCAAATGGTTATCGTAGTAATAACCAAACTAAGTAAGCCTAAATTTCTTTAACTATGAAATAAAATGTGTTGATTAAGTCGTTCAAATTAACACAAAAATCAAATTAATCAAACTAAAATTAAATTGATTTGGTTAATCGGATAATTGGATTAACCAAATAAAATAATATTACATGAAATCAATTATCCTGTAAATGAATAAAATATAATCATATGTTGTTACTATCATAAACTATGATTATATGTAAGCAATAATAATAAAATTAACCACCTATGATTATTATAAGCATTCAAGTTAATACATCATTCATCATCTCTGCTCCTAATATAGTAAGCTTACAACAAAACTCTCAGGATAAATACATACCAATACCTCTCATCACGAAGTTAAAGCTCTGCTACAAAACACTTAAACTATACATAGTTTGAGGTGACTGTCATAATATTGAACGTAATCCTAAAGTCTAGTAGTTGTCCAAAATATTTTGGTTTAGTAAATAGACAGGCCCGTTTAAATTTTTATCCACAATGTTTTGGTTTGTTGTGCACATGGAAATAATTAGGGAATCACGAAAGTTTGGTTTGGTTGGTTGCATGAAAATATAAATAATTTTGTATATTAGGTGTATCATTAATTGGTTTCATTGGTTAGCAGCGTTGAAACCAAACCAAATAAGCTAAATTGTTTAACCAAACCAAACCAATTATCCAAATTATCAAACCAAATTAAACGAATACTACACATTAATATGGTTACCACGGTAACCAATCCGTTTGAACACCACTAAGAGTTATAGTCAAAGTGCAAGTGGGCTATTAAATCTTTAAAAGACTTCCTTTTCTGTGGGCCAATTATAAAAAACAGGTATTACTAAGTTTTTGGGCTAAGTCATTGGCCCATTAGTTTCTTTGCACTTCACTTATTAAAAACAGCTTTAGAAGTCAGATAAGTCCTTTTTTTGGATCAAAGTTCCATTTCCCATCATCTGTTATGTACTCTGTCAAAACAAAAGAAAACCTAGAAATATAGATTGGAAACTGTATAGGTTGCATGTCCAATTGATTGAAATCGAAGAAGTAGAGGTGCGCATCATGCCAACAGGTTAGGGCAGAGGCTGCGACTCAGCCAGATTCGATAACCCTAATTATTTATGTTCGGTTTCTAACAGGTTATACTTCAATGTGGAAGAAGGCGAGCAGGAGACTGAAGGAGGGCGGAGGCGTTTACCAGTACTAGATCTTGACCGTTGTTGGGTTATAGTTGCGGATTCTGCGACGGCTCCCTCTCTCGCCCGTTCTTTCAATTCTCGGTCATGCTTTATGACCCTGTAGTTCGTGAACAGATTAAGGGCGGCGAATGGAAGAAGGGAGGCAGACACACAATGGCGGCGACGGTGAGAGAGCTTCAGGGAGGCATTCTAACTCTTCCTCACTCATGATAGTGACCTCGACAAAGACGACTAGATTCATCATCTCCACCGCCTCTCTCTCTCTCTCCAACTTAATCTCAAGGAGCCCTCTCTCCAGATCGATTAAATTCACGTTCTCCTTCACAAAATTCGCGCTCCTAATTTTACAGAGTTCGCAAATTCTATGCGCTTCATTCCAAATCCGCCATTTAGCGCTCTAAGGCGGGAGCGCGGGGGCTGAACAGACGATTAGGTTATCTAAATCTAGCCTATTCTTTATTCATCCCTCATAAAATGGGCCAGCGCTTGGTGTCACTAAGTTCTCGATGAAGGAAATTATGCTACCTGGAAGCGTTCTATGACATTGGTGATTCGTACTAGCAGAATTCTAACTTCAAGTCCCTCGTCCAAACGACAACATATAAATAACCTTAATCGTAGGGGTTAATTTCACGGTTGGTCACTGAAATTATTAAAAAAACGTTCATATTTAGTCACTTCAAATATTTAATTCCATTCGTGATCACTATAATTAGTTAAACAGTCCAAATTTGGTCACTCTCCGTCACCTTCTTTTAGTCACTATTAACGCTGTCAATTTTTTGCTGACGTGGCTAACAAAAATGCCTAATCAGCTAATTTTAAAGAAAAGAAGGAAAAAAAGAATCCACCTACCACATCATTTTAATTAATCAAACATAAGTTACCCAATCCAACCCAACCCTTGACTAACCCTTCCTCTTCTTTCTCTAGTTGACCCAACTGAAAAAAATCCCTACCTTCCAAATCAGATCTCCACGCCAGCCACCTACCATTCAGCAGATTCCCATATCTAAAATCATATCTCCACGCGAACGCCACCTCTCCGACGCTGGCTTGTTCTTCTTCCCCACCTCGAGCGGCCTCTGTCCCACCAGACTCAATCCCTTTCTTCTCCACCTTCAGGTGTTGCTGAACGAAATCGACGGAAGGAGCTACAACCCGCGAAGGTAGCAGGGGATGGTGGAGCGAGAGTTGCGTTTGTTGTTTCCTCTACCCTTGACCGGAGACGCCCCTTCACAACGTCGTCGATTTAGGTGAAATCCTGGGCCAAATCGACCTAGTTCTTGCCCCGATAAACGGTAATCGGCTTCCCCTGCAAAATATTCCCGGTGAAGGTGAAGTAGCAGGGATGGAGCCAGCTTGTATCAAGGAGGGGCGATTGTCCCCCCTAAAGTTACAAATATAACAGAAGTAAGAGAATATACTGAAAGTTCTTCATAGCGCAGTGGTCCAGGTACCTATTATTTTTCCCCAACGTCAGTTAAAATGAGGGTTCGGGCTCTGTTAATGTTAGACATATTTTGCTTAAAATTTTTAATTCCCCCCCCCCCCCCCCCCCAATTTTGGCATATTTTGCTTAAAATTCACAAAATTTCCCAATTTTTATGGGCAAGTCTCTCCTACATATTTTTATTTGAAAATTTCACAGTTACTTTTTATATGGTTAACAAGTTACCATTTTAAATAGTTCGACTAATTTATTTTTAAATATATGCCATGATTTTCAGAGTTTTGACATATTTTCAATGATTTTTACACAAAAATGGTTAATAATTTTGGATGTTATAATGTATATGTATTTTAGGACCGAATACTGTACAAAACTCATGCATACAAAATCCGGTCGTATCATCGTATCATGACATTGCTATACGATGATACAAAGTATTATTGTGTCGTGTCATTGTATCACACAAGTCGTGATACGTGATACGATCGGGGTTTTCCGGGATTTTACAGAAATGGAGTTTTGTAATGGAACCCAAGTCGTATTTTTTAATCACTATATATGTGTTGGGAAAAAATTCGTCGCCCCCCCTAATTAAAAGTCCTGGCTCCGTCCATGAGAAGTAGGCCATGTCGGGGGGTTCGGTTAGCCTGACTACCCCTAAAGGGGTAGTGATTTTTGACACCCCCTTTATGATTGACCAATTTTATTTCCAATCATTGGCATGTATTAATTAAACTGGTTTTTTATTTTTTTTAATCTTGTAATTTGGGGTCTCTCACCACATTGGAAAAGAGAAAGAATATGGGGAAAAACGAAATCACCCCCATTAATTACATAATTAATTTCTCTCACTGGTACATTAATTACACGTACCACTCCACTGGTACACGTACCACTCCACTGGTACACGTACCACTCCACTGGTGCGAGCAATCCACAAGGTAGGTTAGAGTGAGAACAATACCAGTGCAATGATATTTTTCATAACAATGATAAACAATAACGGAGCAACAATGCAGTACCACTTCAATGATACAAATACCACTCCACTGGTACACGTACCACTCCACTGGTACACGTACCACTCCATTGGTAGGTCAGAGGCGATCCCAGGATGGCGGCAGCTGGAGATAGGAGGATGGTGGTGGGGGAAGGCGCTGGAGGGTTTTGGTCGTTTCAGAGTAGAGGAGGGTTCTGGTTAAAATGAAATCAAAATGGAAAGAGGGCCCAAATAGAGAGAGAAGGAGACGAAAGGAAGAAAAAAAGGCAATTAATTGCACATTTGGGGGGAGCTTTTTTCTGATTCCCCATATTATTTCCTTTTCCAATGTGGGTGAGAGACCCCAAATTACAAGATTAAAAAAAATAAAAAATCAGTTTAATTAATACTTGCCAATGATTGGAAATAAAATTGGCCAATCATAAAGGGCGTGTCGAAAATCACTATCCCTTTAGAGGTTAGCATAGTATCCGACCCCATGTCGGGTCTTTCACATGGCCCGTTCGTAGGGTCATAAATGATTAAGGGTCATAAATTCCGAGTTTGCTGGCTACACGTGATACATGACATAGTTGGTAACAAATGTCCCCCGTACCTTGTGCATCGGCCGCCTTTGACAAAGTCCAACCTCGCTCGCGTAACTCCAACGCAAGGTTTAAAAAAGGTTACCTATCGTTGCCAGCTAATTGCGCCCTTTTTGTTCCCTTGCAATTCCAGCTAATTAGTTGCCGTCTATTTCTATGTAACCACCGCCTAAGCCACGTGCTGACACATAAACGTCTAATCTCCACAAACCAACCCTTCATCTCGACCGTCCGTTCTCCCTTTCCCTCCTATATAGCTCTCTCTCCCCCTCTACCCTGAATTATTCATTTCATATTAATTATCATTATCTTTTCCTTTCTTCTCCGTCGCCCCGTTTTTCACAGGCAACGCTCTCCATCCTTTCTCTGCGTTTACGTTCGCTCCAGATCTCCCTTCCATGTCGGTTCCTCACGGCGGGTGGTTCTTGTCTCCGTGTAGATCTTGCATCGATCTACCCTCTGATGGTCATTTCAGCGGCTGAGATGTTCGTTTCCGACTTCTTTCCTACACGAACACAGATCTGTTCTAAAGGTTATCATCCAAACTCCTGAATCTTGATTGTAGCTGGATAAATTCCATATTTCTGTTTATTGATTTTCTCCGGTTTGTTTTCCCTCCCCTCAGATCTCGAACAGCAGGGCCTGTGCAGATCTGGTCAGTTTGTTGCCTGTGATGGCGTCGACGATGGCAAAGCAGGTGTTTCTGTTGGCAGATCGAGATCCAGCCGGTGGTTTGAGGTCAGATCCGTGGTTGCCGGCGGAGCAGTTGAAGGTTGAAGACTTTTGTGTGTTGTGGGATGATGTATAAGATATGGGAGGACGAAGGGCGCTGTGTTTCGGTAGCCTGGTGGTCCTGGTTAATATCTTTGTCATCCGACCTTTGCCATGACGGGTGCGCTCGCTTGGCAGGTCACCCTATTGAATAAAAAAAGGAAACCTTTTTGTGTTCAGAGGGAAGTTCGCACGGGGGATTTTGCCCGGGTTCTTCCCTTCTGATGTCTCGTGTCTTCCTTCTCTCTCTCTCTCGGTCGTCTCTGTTTCGATAAAACCAACTGTCCTCCAAGCTTTCGCTCGTTACCATTGCCAGAGAATTCCAGAGAGGTTGTTTAGAAGGCGCAATCAGCATCCAAGTAAGATCCTCTATGCACGATCATTTCAGCTCGCACAAGGTACTTCCTATCCAACCAGGTGACTCCATTTATTCCGCCTTTTTCGAGTTCCGTTTCCCATACTAATTCGTAAGTGTTTGGATTGGTGGTTAATTATACCGTACTCGTGGAACCTAAAATTACTTCAAATCTTTTGCACAATTGGCAGTTGTTAAAACGTTGGGATCTCGGACTTGGGGTACTAGGTTATTGTAAATATTGGTAGATTAAAATCCCCTTTATCTCATCGCTCCATATTCTCGTAGAGGTAGAAGAACAAACATGTGATGATTTCCTTTTTTTTTGTTCTTATTTCTCTGTGCTGCGGCCTTGAGATGATTTCTCTTGATTAGCTCTTACTCTTAGTGGTTATCGGTCATGTGATAATTAGCTCTTTCAAGCAATTCGCTACTTTGTATATGTAGTTCGTTAGATCAGTTGTTTCGATTGAAGTGGTGAAGCTTCAATGGCGGGGAAGATTTGCAACTAGTTGCAGAGGACATAACCCTGGAAGTCTTCATTGAGGTGACCGTGAATTTGAATCCCATCTTGTAACTGCGTATTATGATACATGATAAACCTGCCATCTGATTATATTTCATTCTTGGTCAGCTTGTTAGTGGCGCTGGCACTACTTTGTAGGTTGTTTGTCGATTGTCGGCCGAGTACTCGTTAGTACAGGAATTAATACAGGAATTTGTGTATGGGGTTGGAGAAGCAATCAACCTTCTGAGTTAAGTGTTGATTCTGCCCGTGTATTATGCGAATTTGGTCTTGCCACTACAGCTTGATTTTCGTTGGTTTTTATAGTAATGAGGGAGTTTCTTTTTCAGAGTTCTATAGAAATGTGATTTGTCTCTTACTATATTTCATTTTTGTGCTGCTTGTTCAAACTGAACTTATAACCTGGGTGTCCAAACGGAGGGCTAAACGAGTTAGCCATTCTAACTGGTAATATTTGGAGATATTGGCTAATTTGAATAATTGGTATATATTGGTTTTGTAAAATTTTTGAGCTAGTTTGGTTTCGGTTGTTTAGGTTGATTTAACGGCTCCTAACAAGCCAGTCATTAGTCATTATTTAGTACTTAGCGCAACTAGTTTGGTCCAACCTAATTGTCTCTCAGGCTTATAAAAAATAAAGCTAATTATTTCTATTTTATATTTCTATCAATGTTGTATAATGTATGTAGGCAATAAAAGATGGATGTCTAAAACTTAAAATTGAAGTTATGTTTAGATAACTGGCAAGTGATTAAGTCGATTTACACTGCTGTTATACTTGTTTATTTGTATAAGTCAAACAAACCGTTCAAATTTTAGGTTGGTCGATTTTCGTATTGTTAGTTGTGTGGTTTGGTTATAATACTCCTGTGCTTAGTTTAGGACGAATTTTGTTGTGGTTAGGTGTTAAATTCTGGAAGGTTTTTATTTTATTTTTTACTACTGATATCGAAAGGTCTATTGTCTTCAGTCTAGGCTTAAGAAATTGTGGAAATTACACTATTCGTGTTGCGCATGAGCAAAGTATTGTAGTGGTAGTATGGATCGTTTATGTGCATAGAAACTTATATGATGGATATAGTGACTGGCCATTTTTTTTTGTAACTATTTGTGGTCAATGTCATGTAACTGTGTGAACTCGGATCATCTCATCGACTTGTGAACATCTATTGATTTATTTGTTGCGTGGGTCCTTGGTCTATTTGGGAAGATCTGTAAGCTCAAAATGGTAAGAGCGCTCCATCCCCTTCGTGGGTATGTGAGAGGTTGGTGGTTCAAATCCACTCGGATCTATTTAGCTTGTACTGTACATCATCCCGAGTTTCTTCGTCTATAGACAGACCTGGTCGGGCCGGTTTTTTCCCCCCTTCCTGCCATGGCTGCTGCCCTTTTATGCTTATGGTCAGCTGTTCTTTTGTCATTATAGGTTGTAAGTTATACATGACTTCTCTTTTCTTCTCGTCAATCATGAGCATGTTAACGCTCTATCTTTTCTTATGATGAATGGGTATAAGCTTCATTTCATTAAAGCACAATCGAAGTTTTAGAGTTTGGACTACAACCGAACTGACCAAACTCAGAAACGGTAAAAAAATGAAGAGGTTCAATTACACCAAGTTCAGAACATACATTTCCAAAAAAGATAACCAGTCTCTATAAAAACCCAAAGAAGTTTGATTCCAATCGCTACAACAAACTCTAGGTGGCTATTGTCACGTGTGGCTGATGACATGGCGCCAACAAGGTGACAACATGGCGGCTGCACATGTGGCATGTATGGAAGACTAGTAGCATAGAGATGCTCCTAGGATTCTCCACCTTAATAGAGAGCTTAATGGTGCACTTATGAGTCGCATAATGGGTGACATTTATAGAGTGCATAATGGGGGGACTTAATGAGGTGTATTGATGTAGAGGGACATTATGAGGGGCATTGATGCCTTGAGGAGAGGCCTATATAAGGAGCCATCTCCCTCACTTGTAACTCATTCCATCATTTTTGAGAGTAATACATACTAGAGAGTTCTCCCAATCCTTTGTCTTTGTTCTTGTTTCTTTACTTGCAAGCGAGTTGAGAGAAAGGATGCCTAGCGCTCTAACGGATTTGAGAGCTAGGGCCGCACGATCGAGAGTAAGGTCGTGACAATACCCACACACGTTGCATTTTTGCTGCTAATTATGCATGATTCGGTTTTTGCTTTCCAAACAATTTTGTGCACCTCTCTCCAGACCTCGTTAAGAGTTAGATTCCAGAAAAGGCGACCCACATTACAGTTATTTAGCCCCCTGAACTGCATCATCAACTCCATCCTGCAACCCTTGGGAAAAACCTCCATGAAACCCAGAAGCACAATCTGACTTTACTCTTGTTTCACAAAAGAGCAAAAGAAAAAATAGGTGCTCTTTAGTCACCAACTCGTTCATACATAGTACAATAAGTAACCACTCTAGGATTCCATTTCTTTACATTGTCAAGAGTAATAACCCGATCGATCAAAATAAGCAATGGTAGCACTTAGCATAGAGTTCGTGGGTATAATTTTGGGCAATGTCTATTTTTTACCAAAACATTTTTAAAATTCTTTTATTTTATTCAAACTTATAGAAAATCTATTTATTATCCATATGTATTGTAACTAATCAAAGTCTGGGTATTCGTTCTGTTACCATTACTTATTTCATAACGGAGCTCCACGTAAGCATCCACGTCAGCGTACATGTTGGAAATTAATATTTAAAAGTATTTATTTAATTAATTGGGTAATTCTTACCCTCTCTTCATTTGAAAACCAAGATAGGGCACGAAGCCTCGCAAAGTGAGAGAAACAAGTCCCTGCCTCCGTCGTCGGCCTTCAAAGCCTCGCAGTCGCCATTCGAAGTCTCGCGGCCGCGTTGGAAGTCTCACCGCCGTCGGTCGAGTCTTGCGCTGCCGTTCTCAGTCTCTTCCCTCCAACATCGTCTCACGCAAGGTAAGATGTAGTTACCCTTCGACATGGGGGTTTGAGCAGCGGTGCCGAATATGAATTGGATTGTGGATTGAGATGTTTCTCCTGTTTTGAGTAATGGAAGCAAGAATCATGTCTGCAAGGGCGAGCTCTGCAAGGAAGGGCTGTGCAAGGGACAGATTTGCAAAGGAGGGTTGTTTTAGCTCGACCAACACAAATAACGATTCAGTGCCTCGTTTGCGACCACAAAGTTCCGTGCATTGTGAACAAGTTTGGTACCTCTAGGAATCCTGGAAGGAAGTTTTATTGCTGCCCATATTGGAAGGTAATGTATTTTGGTTTGTTTTGTTGCTTGTTGACCTAAATTCAAAATCGCCATTGCTATTCCTAACTCTTTTTTTTTAGATTGAAGGCTGCAGGTTCTTCATATGGGTGGATGTACATGAAATGCAGATCAGGAATGGATCATGGGGTGACTTGTTAGCAAAACTTATTGAATATGAAGAAATGAATAGGAAGTTGTCAGAAGAGTTGCTTAGAACCAAAGAAGATCGTGCAAGGATGATATTGGAGATGAGCAGATTGAGCAATGTGATTTGTAGTCTTGATAGTAGGATAAGAAACTTGACGGTCTGTGTAATTCGTGTCTTTGCTTTTGCCGCATTATGTAGATTTCAGGGAGTTTGACTGTTGTGGCAAACAAATTGAGAATGTAAGTTTGATTGTTGTGGCAAACTAAGTTCATAATGTAAGTTTGACTTATGTGCCCAGCGGCCCCACAATTGGTGCAATGCATCACCATTCCCACTCTTTTGGCTGCTATACCAGCAGACCTTCCATTCATGTGCAAAGTCATCTCCAATTCACCTTCATCCTTTCTTCGTTTCTTCTTTGGACGACCAGGCATTTTCTTGTAAATAGGAGGGTGAACTAGATAACCATCAACAACTGGCCATGCCTGTTGCCTACCACAGCATGTACGATACCAGTATATGCCTTCTGAATGGTTGATACGAGGAAAGAAGTGTGCACAAAGTCCTCCAAATCTTGCCTTATCAACCCTATGGCAGGTAGTGCATGGCAATAAGGAATGCCACACAAATCCCATGCCCCACAAGTGCAAGTACGAGTCTACAAATTCACAATATATGATGATGCCCCATAACTACCCTCAACAACAAAATCATAACTAGCTCTAGCAACACACATCCTAGCCTTCAAATCCTCTCCAGTGATCGTACTCATGACAGCTGGACATATTACTGACTGCAACTTCTCAAACTTCTTACGTTTCTTCCTCATTTGGGCCATAATGTACCCTCTAATGGCCTCTAACATTGCAATGGTCCGATACTCCCTTACCTTCACAATGACAGTATTCCAGCTCTCACAAATATTGCTTTCCACAGAGTTTGATTTTGGGATTATGGAGAGGAAAACATGACAAAAAGTCTTGGGGTCTTGCTCCATAAAGTCTGTAAATGGGGTCATATCAGCTTGTGCACCTTGGAAAGCCTCCATTTTGGTCGTGACAACTTCATACTCTGGCACATTACATGCATAAACTGCTTCCCAGTAGATCTTTCGCATCTTCTCATTCTTAACCTTGACTTTTTCCAATTTGCAAACACATGGCGGCACACTTCTGTTGCTCGACACTAGGCATAACTAGATTGATTGCTTCAACTAACCCCTGAAATCAATAAAAGAACAAATCTTATACATTCAGCCCCACAAAACATGCTTTATATATGAAAAAAACAGCAAGATTGGGAATACCTTTGCTGGTCAGAAACTACGCTCCATCCAACCCCAACCCCATCCCCGAATCCCAATTCCTCTTGCAAATTCACTAGAAACCACTTCCAAGAACTCTTGTTCTCACCCTCCACAATAGCCCATGGGAATGGGTAAATTTGACTGTTTCCATCCTTCCCCACGACAGTCATCAACATTCCTGGAACCTCGTCCTTCAGGAAGCATCCATCGATGGAAAAAATCGGCCTACAACCAGCCAAAAATCCCTTTCTCAAGCTGGAAAACCCAATATAAAACTGTTTGAAATGCACCTTATCAACCACTTCCACATCCGTCTCAATTTCAAGCTTGAACCGTCCCTCATGATCTGCTGCTATTAGAGCAGCCATATAACGACGAAGCTTGTTATACTCTTGTTAAAGAGTACCATGTAACATCTCTTTAACAATGGCCCTCGCAGTATAACACACCTTCAATTCAACATCGACTCCAAGCTCCCATTTGACCTCCATCACAATAAGTGGGGCCTTCCAATCTGGCTCACTCTTGAAACGCTCAAGGAAGTGCTCTGCAATAAACCTAGCAGTTGCTAGGTTAACTCGAGCCAACCTAGTGCATGAGTGATTCGGGTCCAATCGTATACATTTTACCCCTCATATCTTGATAGTTTGGCTTTGCATTTCATCGCCCCTCGACATATTTCACGCTAGGTTGTGCTTGTTTTGATACATTTCAGGTCCCAGCATGTGTGGGAAGGTTGAGGATGAGTTTTGGGTCGATTGGAGGTCGAAAAGACCGTGACAATTGCGTCGTAATAGTGAAGCGCAGGCGTCCATGAAGCAGACGCAGTTCACGGTCTTCCAAGATCGTGAACTGGAACCTCAAACCGTGAACAACGAGGCGTCCAACAAGGTTCCATAGGTTACTGACGACCAGGCAGTTCTCGGTCTCTAAGAATGTGAACTTTGAGTGCAAACCGTGAACCATGAAGAGTGAAGCGGTGCGTTTTGGGGACGTCGCTGAGTTCACAGACCCGTTAAGGTGTTCACGGCCATGAACAGAGGCCATAAACTGGGCTTGATCTGGGTATAAAAACAGCATCAGAAGGAAGAAGAAAGAGAGCTAGTTTTTGGAGAAGGAACACTTTCTTTCTCTAGGGTTTCAACAAAAAACACCAAAGGGGAGTTCTAGGGAGAGAGAGAGAGAGAGAGAGAGAGAGAGAGATCTTGGAGCTTAATTGAAGGCATTGATCAAGATTGGAAGCTAGGAATCAAGCCTAGAAGAAGAAGATGAAGATCTAGAGGTTTCTTTGTAATCTCTCCCCTCTCTCTCTAGAAACTCACCCTCTTCTCTTGGGTTTAAGGACCCTAGGTCTAGCTTTGGGTTTAATGTTGATGTATGTGACAAACTCCATGATTGATTGATGATTTTACTTAATTGATGGATGTTTTCATGAATGACATGAGTTGGGTTTCCATTTTCATGTATTGAGCTTTTGACATAGGAGGGAGATAATCCCATTAGAGCCCCTTTTGGCGTCTTCGGGTCACTCCTATCGTATATTGTTCGGGAAGTCCCTGAGGGAGTTGATTCGAGTGGTCTCCTAGCATTATACGAAACCAAGGGTTCAGTAGAGCACTACCCATCCATCAATTTGCCGTTCCGGGTCATTCCTGAGGGATTCCATCTTCAAACTGTAGTGTATTTGAATCGATCGAGCTAG